CCAGCAACAATTGTAAACGACAGACGCATCCTCTCATTAAAGAGGATGTTACATAAGGGCGATCACCGCAAGTGTTCAGTGCTGGTTGCGAGTCTCAAGGGGCTTGTCGCCAAGACCAACTGATTGGCGGTAAACCGCCAGTCGTAAAGTATCTCTGAGTCTAATTCTGGGCTTAGTCATTTGTCAGCTGACATTCAGTTCTGTACGAGAGTCTGTGAAAGGGGGACTTGAGCCGAAGGCAGAGGAATAGCCATTGTTGGATCCGTTACCAGAAAACGTCTAGTAACAAAATGTGAACACTTAGAGTGTGAGCTCCAGTGAATTGTAAAGTGTGAAAATAGAGACTGTGTTGTAGTGTAGTTACGACTTGTAAGTAATCAATAAATCTTTTCACCGATTCAAACCCCGTCTATAGTCACACACATATACGTGACGATATATAGGGCATTACACCTACGAAGCCTGCAGTTTTATAATCGTCACAATTATAATGTCTGATGAAGTATGCAAATAATGAAACCCATCGTTATGTGATTTTGTTATTAACTAATCAAATCATGGAGCAGAGTCTATTTTGAGAAGCTTGTCATATATCGGTGGTTTTCGTGACGAATAATAAATGGTTATGGATTAAATCATCCTTAGTATTAAAGCACCCGTCAATAATGCAATGTGTTGGGTATGTCACGCGACAAATAAATTCACGTGGGTCTCGGATTTAGGGAATCTTTATTGGACGCTCACACTTATACACCTTACAATTATTATCGCCTGTGGTATCACTTGACTTCTGGCGACTGGGTTCCAACTGCGCTGTATGAAGGCCAGATCTCAACTGTCGTCGGCGGCGACTGTCCCAAGTTTGTGTCCTTCGGGGGCTATTTCCAGACTGTCTTATCAGAGTTCAGACTTACATTGCGACTGACTGAGTCTTGGTGTCGAGCCCCATTTGGGGCTCATGACCAGATAGTAATTATTATCGTTTGACAGTTACGGGCTTGTTTCTGTGGGGCGCCTTCTCTGACGAGAGGACGGGTCTGTCTTTTGCATATGCTGCTGGCTCTTGCCAGCGCAGTTTTTCTCGGGTCCGAGTCCCTTGGGACTCGCGACCATATTTTACTGTCTCAGAGTTGAGACTTGAGAGAGAAAGAGAGAGGCGCGCACACACACACACACACACACACACACACACTTACGGATCATCTTCAGAGGGAACATCAATACTTATTCGGAAACCACCATCACAGTAGGTGTTCTGATTGCTACGTTACATACACACATAATGCCTGGAATACACAATGTACACAATATTCAACTTTTCACAATCACGGCAGCCTTCCTGGTATTAAAACTTCTAAAGTTNTTGCCAGCGCAGTTTTTCTCGGGTCCGAGTCCCTTGGGACTCGCGACCATATTTTACTGTCTCAGAGTTGAGACTTGAGAGAGAAAGAGAGAGGCGCGCACACACACACACACACACACACACACACACACACGGATCATCTTCAGAGGGAACATCAATACTTATTCGGAAACCACCATCACAGTAGGTGTTCTGATTGCTACGTTACATACACACATAATGCCTGGAATACACAATGTACACAATATTCAACTTTTCACAATCACGGCAGCCTTCCTGGTATTAAAACTTCTAAAGTTTTTAAAAAAATTAGCTTACCTGGACTTAAATATATTTAATAGACACGGACAAATAGAAATGGAAATATACAGAAAACCCACAACGGCAGACATAACAATAAATAATAAATCATGCCACCCTAAAGAACAAAAATTGCCAACATATAAAAACTGGATACACAGACTTCTTACACTACCCCTCGAGGAAAATGCTAAAAACAAAGAATTAAATACTATTATTAATATAACACTAAATAGTGGCTATAGGAAAGAAGACATCACACATCTATACAACAAACTTAAGCGAAAGATTGTTAACCCGGATAATAAAGACGAAAAGGAACAAAATGTGTCACTTCTACTTATACAGGAAATTACATACGAAAAATCACAAAACTATTCAAAAACACTAACATAAAGATAGCCTTCAAAACAGCCAACACAATAGGTAAACTAATAAATGAAAAACGAGAAATAAACCCCTACGAACAAAGTGGGATATAGGAAATAACATGCCAAAGCTGCCAAAAAGTATACATCACCAAACTGGCAGAAATCTAACAACAAGCTACAAAGAACATATAAGAAACATAAGACTAAACAAGGACGAATCAGCATTTGCTCTCCCACTGTCTTATCAAAAGTCAAAGTCAAAGTCACATTGCGACTGATGGTCAGTCAGTCAGTAAGTCTTGGTGTCGAGCCCCATCTGGGGCTCATGACCAGATATTAATTATTACCGTTTGACAGTTACGGTTTTATTTTCGTGGGGCGCCCTCTCTGACGAGAGGACGGGTCTGTCTTGTGCATATGCTGCTGGCCCTTGCCAGAGCGATCTTTCTCGGGTCGGAGTCCCTTGGGACTCGCGACCATATTTTACTGTCTCAGATATGAGACTTCCCTTTTCGTCCCTTCCTACGACTCGCAGGGTCACGGTGGAGGTATTCGACCCCGCCTCCACACGGGGGACTGTCTTATCGAATGTATTGCCTTCTTATATATCTGCGGCCGTTGTTATGCATTGAACCTTCTGTTGTAACCGTGGAGACTCCTGTTAGACTTACAATACCTCTATTGTTATTCCTATGCAACGGTCTGTTCTACCGTTTCCATGGAAGTATCTCTTCTGGGTTCCGAACATGTGACACTATTTTAAAATACAGAAGACATCTAGAATATGTATCTCACTAAAAATATTACTTTAATAATTTATGACGATAATATCATAAAATGTCATTAAGACGCTAAAAGTATAACTTATACACTAAAAGTGATTATCTCATCACTAAAGTGTCTCTAGTATTACATATGCTTTCTTCCCTTTATAACATGTTTCGGCCGCACATGGACAACATTTTACGCATTTTCCGTCTCTCAAGCATGCCCCATGAATTTTCCTTTTATTATTTTTCTTCACCGTAATAATGTTTGGTGATGAGAAGAAGTTATGAAGCTTCTTTTCATGTAGTTTTCTCCAGCCTACTGACACTTCCTCTTTTATGTCGAAACCTTCTTCCCGGAACCCTGTTCTCACTCACCATCATGTTCGTGCTTTAGGGTGAGAGAATAAGTCTCACCACTACAAAACGAAGTAAGAAATTTACTATTGTATAATTTATTCCCTTTTATACTTTTTATTTTTGGTAGTGGGATGGGAGGAAGTCCTTGTACTGCGGCCACTTCTGGACTATTGTACCAGCCCCAGATGATAGGTGAGGGTGATTGTGGAGCAATTGGTGGAATGAAAACTGGCAGGGGAAACCGGAGTACCCGGAGAAAACCTGCCCCAGCGCCACCACAAATCCCACTTGACCAGACCCGGGATCGAACCCGGGTCGCCGCGATGGGAAGCCAGAGACTAACCGCTTGAGCTATGGCGCGGCCCTTTTTATACTTGATAGTCTTTGTGGTCAAGTGGGCAGAGTTCCTGGCTATAGATCCAGATGCCCCGGGTTAGATTCCCGACTCCACCAGGTTTTCTGTAAACTAGTAGGTCTGGAACGGGATCCGCTAAGCTTCCTCAGGATAATTGAGGAGTTATTTTAAGGAAATAGCGGCTCCGGCCTAGGAAGCCAAGATTAACGGCCGTGGGGGTTCGTTGCACTGACCACGCAACACCATCTATCCGCTAAAGTTGGCACTAACTTCGCCGACAAACGGCGGTCGCTCGGTCGGTATAGTTCGCTTGCGGACTACAGGCAAAGGAGTTTGTTTTTTTTATAAAATTTGTAAGTGCATAAAGATTATACAGATGGACCATAGTTGCAGGCTCGCATTAGGGAGAATCCCCAACCAGCGTACAATTTGGCGCTCTATAAAGAGTTGTATAAGCAATGAGAAGAGAGCCTAAGTGCTCCTTTCTTTTTACCAAAGTGAAAGGGATGGAGATATGTTTCGTTACCTGGTAACATATTAAGTTGTGTTGCAGATATGAGATGTTTAGATCATGTCACGCAGTAACAAGGGTAGGTAATGCAGACAGCTTGTTTGCTGTAGACTGCGCAAGAAATTACTCTCTATCCCGTAGCGCCTAGATCGGCTCTGGTGCTCACCCAGGCCTTTATCTAATGGGTACCGACGGCAAAAATTTCGCGTTATGAATCTGACCACGCACCTCCATCTGGTGACGAGCTGTACCCCCACTCCCATATACCTTCATGGCATAGTGATTAATTAAATAAGCACAGGGATAATTTTATCTGTGCTGCAAATTATAGCACTTAAATTATTATGTGGAAATTCAGTAGTCGTTAAAAATTGCAAAATTTCATTATGATCTCCCCGAGCCAAATTCAATTTTTAATTTTTATTCTTTGGCTCTCTTGTTGTTTTGTGTTAATTTGTTGGTACTTTAATTGTGAACATATAGAGACGTAATGTAATAAATATTTATTTTACTAGAGTTCAGGAAATTGCGTTTCTATTATTACATTTACAGTTGTAAATTTCATTTTTGCTCAAATTTAATAGCGTATTTACGAGTACTCTCTGGATCTCCTTTCCAGAAAACACGGTCAAGTTTTTTTGTTACTATCTTCATTTAGTGCATGTTCCTTAAATACTGCTAAAATTATGAATTCTTATACGAAGTGCAATTAGGCAATAGATAAGTAGGTCTATAACCTATCACGAAGTAATATATGAACATTTTTTAAGTGCATATATCCTCAAATTTATGCGTATTACTCGGGAATAATTTTGTGTGCCGTTAGGTACTGACTATTTTTAGTTTACTGCCACTCTAAGAAAAGAATTAATCACGCGTCACTGAATTTCCGACAAGCGCTTATGGAAACCGGCTTACAACTATCGTTTCTGGGTTACCTTCACGCAACTGAACCAGGGCGCATATTAAACAGAGCATCACGACACTTGCTTCCAGTGGCTCGAAACCATGGCTTCTAGGTGCTCGAGACTGGAGTTCTCAGCAACAACAAGGTAAGCTTTGCAGATCCTATTACACTAGCTTCAGAATGCGTGTTTCCCCAAAAGTTGTACCGTGTCAAATCTCCGGTTAATCTTCAGCTGTGGCAAAAATGGGGGAAAGGAACATGGTGTGGTCAATGTAGAATGCAATGTTTGTGAAAAGTTTTGTATTGAAAAGTATCGACATTGCAATGGCATGCACATTTGAGGTTATGTTTCGAGAAAAGGAAAAAATATGAACAAGTCTTTATTACGAAGTGTTTTATCTTATGGAATGTGACGCCGTACATTGTGGTAAAGTTTTGCCGGAGTTGCATGGCATCATATGCCATAAGATATTAATTTAATTGCCACAGTTCTAGGAATCTAAAATCTTAGAAATGTTTATTACACGGCGTATCCCTTTTTTTTATTGCTAGTGGGGTGGGACTAAGTACCTTGTAGTGTGGCCACTTCTGGCCTATTGTACCAGCCCCAGATGATAGGTGAGGGTGATTGTGGAGCAATTGGTGGAATGGAGATTGGCAGGGGAAACCGAAGTACTCGGAGAAAACCTACCCCAGCGCCACTTTGTCCACCACAAATCCAACTTGACCAGACCCGGGCCGCCGCGGTGGGAAAGCAGCGACTAACCGCTTGAGCTATGGCGCGGCCCCTCGGCGTATCCCTTACAGTTGCCATATTTGTAATGTTATGGACGATTCTTTGGTTATTTAACGACGATTTTCAACTTCTTAAAATACATAGCGTCAACTGGTAAGGTTATTGTGAAGTATGAATTCGAAAATGTAGAAATGAGAGTTTTTGTCCTAGTTTTAGCAACTGACTAAAATTCTTCCTGCCTGGCTGAGGATATTCGCCAGATATCTCAGGGTTACCAGCCCTTGGGTCGAGATTCTAGGGCAAATTTTCGGAAAAGAATCAGGAGCGCAACTCCTTTTTATGCTTTCATTTAAGGATTACAGCAAAGTAGAAAATAGAAAGCTTGCTTTTAAGAAATGAACTTGCTATGTCATTGTCCTTCTTATTTGGATGGCAGTATCGTGGTACACATTTATTGTATCTAGAAAACACCCAAAACAGTTTCCTGAGTGCATTTTCCCTTGCTGATGTTTTTAGGTGCATACCTTTCGTCTTGGTAGGTATTTCAGATAATAGAACTTTGACAGTTTATCATATTTCGGGACTGAAATGCAGTGTACTATAAAGCAAGTTATAAGTGCATTTTCCCCTGCTGATGTTTTTAGGTGCATACCTTTCGTCTTGGTAGGTATTTCAGATAATAAAACTTTGACAGTTTATCATATTTCGGGACTGAAATGCAGTGCACTAGAAAGCAAGTTACAACAAAGATAACATTAATAGTGATAGCTAACAGTGTTCGTTTTACGTCTGTGTGTAGAATTATGTTTATCGTTGTTACGATCTGCATGTTGTTATTTATTATACGAAGTATGGTTTACATCTCATACATAAACCCGACCGTTCATGGAGAATTTTATAGTTGTTCATTATCCGGTAAAATGCCATGGCCACTGTTAATATGGTCGAATATACTCATTTCGGAAGAGTTTCATGTTAATATTTTCAAAGATATTATTAAATTTTTTGCGTTATGTATTTCAGTTTTGTTCACAGTTTCGCACCTGCACTAAACAGTCTTTGTAAAATTCCGTAGAATTTGAAGCACGTTACTTCCAAGAAAAGACGTCACTTTCTGTAAGGTCATGCCGGTCATGAACTTCCTTGTGAGCACCAATGAAATTCTTTCTTTGTATGTTATTTTCATATAGAATATTGTAACGTGGATGGACACAGCGCTGCTAGGTAACTGACCGCGAAACACCTCGCGACCTAATACACGCAAGGCAACAATGGGAGTGCGGAGTTTTCTATGCGGTCGGCTCCATGACCGTTGCTATGCGATCTCTCGGTAAACACGTTCCAATAGTATAGGCTGTTTTCTGCATGGTCTGTGAGAAGGCTTTATAACGAGATTCCAGGAACAACCACATAGTACGCCCGTGTGGAGGCGGGGTCGAATACCTCCACCGTGACCCTGCTAGTCGTAGGGGGCGACGAAAAGGAAGTCTCAGATCTGAGACAGTAATATATGGTCGCAAGTATCAAGGGACTTGGATCTGAGAAAGACTGCGCTGGCAATGGCCAGCAGCATATACAAAAGACAGACCTATCCTCTTGTCAGAGAGGGCGCTCCACAAAAACAAGACCGTAACTGTCAAAGAGTAATAAATATCTGGTCATGAGCCCCAGATGGTGCTCGACACCAAGACTTACTGACTGACTGACCGTCAGTCGCAATGTCACTTTCACTTTCACTTTCACTTTCACTTTCTACCACGTAGTATTTGGGAGTATTTGCGAGTGTTTAATTGACAGCCACGGGAAGTTCGTCGTGTGAATGGAACACTTTAATTATGTGTAATACTTGAAGTGATTTGAAACGCTACTTTCTGTGTTGAGATCCGTTGCTAGGAGAAGACTAGTGGAAGACAGAATCTGAGTTCGTGTGTAGCGTAATTGGTTGAGAGACTATGCTACAAGCTGGAAGGTCGGGGGATCGAATGCCGATGAGGTCATTGGATTTTTTTTTTCAACTGACCTAATCCTTCCAGTCGCACTATGGCCCTGGGGTCGACTCACCCTCTAACAGAAATGAGTACCAGGAATATTCCTGAGAGTAAAGGGCGGTAGGTGCGTAAGGCTGACAAACTTACCGCCATCTATGAGCCGATTGTCTAGGAAATGAGGAACCTCAACATCTCACAACCATGTGGGCCTCCACGGCCTGTTACAGGGATAACTTTACTCTTTTTATTTCAAGGATATAGCGGCTCCGGTCTTGGAAACCGAGATTAACGGCCGTGGGGAACTGTTCCGCTGACCACGTGACACACTCTATCCGCAAAAATTGGCACTATCTTCGCCGACAAGCGGCGGTCGCTCGGTCTATATAGTTCGCTTGCGGACTACAGGTCACGGAATGAATTATTATATTTTATATAACAATATATGACATATGTTCTCTGATGCAACTGTAAAGTATAATTTGTTTCTTTTTTCAGAATTACTGGCTTTTTGGACTTTACCATCGTCCGGTATTCTAGAAAATAGAAAACACGACGTTTCGGAAATTGGATGTGTTTCTGTCCTCAAGTGAGGGGGAAAACACCTACTCAGTTGGGTCCCTTAAAAAGAGCTAACTTCAATCACTGAGTAGGTGTCTTCCCCCCTTCACTTGAGGTCGTAAACACATCCAATTTCCGAAACGTCGTGTTTTTTATTTTATAGAATACCGGACTATGGTAAAAGTCCAATTTCGAGTAATTCTGAGTGATATACACGTATATCATCGTCAGAACCCTTTAGAATATTTGTGTTTAGTTTAGATCAGCTGTTCTACAGAGTTTGTTNTTGTTAACAATTTACTTATAGTTGCAGTGGATTCTTTTTCGGTAAAAAGTTTTTCGCTCTGAAATGAGAAATATTCTGATATTTATATGGGAATACTAATTTTTAGAGAGATAGTATTTGCGATGTGGATAAATCCATTTCTTGTGCTGAGCCATCAGATGTTCCTATCAATTTTGCACCCCTTTTTATCGTTACCCTGTACGCAAGATTGTAATAATCTCCTTAGCTTTTGTGCGGCTCTTGCGTTGGTTTATTTGAATACCTTCTTCTAGCGTTCTACCGTTAGTAATAGTTTTCTTTTTATTGACTGCGTATTTACAATCTGCTCTCTTGTTTTTGGAGCATTAAGTGAATTTGTGGGCGAGTGGCATGAGTGGAGCATTCATCCTCTGATGAATCCCCTATCAGTCCTGTAGATGGTTGATACTGTTTGCCGTGTCTTCAGCGGTTT